TTGTAATATGTCGCTGAGGAATTATAATATACATTGTTAAAACCCAGAAACATACTACATTATTTAATAAAACGCATCAAAGCTTTTGATACTTGTGGATCTCACCTCATTAAATGTCAAGACGACCCAAATCTGTTTTTTAAGTATAACTTGAAAAGAAAATACGCGCATTTTAGCTCATAATCTTTAATTCAAACCATGCTAATATCAGCGAGCGTCGAATATTTATGAGATCGGCATTATGTAAATTTTAAAGTGGCGACGTTTGATGACCCTGTCTTTAAACTGGAAAACCATTTCTTTAAATACCAACATTTTAAAATACTTAATATTTCCGATAGGCCGAACTGCAATGTGAGTTAAAATTTGTGTAAAATTAAAACATATGCATAATCTAGGTGTAATAGTTTTCGTGATAAAAAATTATACTGAATTAAGCCAACTTTTGTGAACGTAACTGATTGTGTTTACTCTTTATCAGATTTTTGTTCGCCTCGTGGAACAATCAAACGAAATAATAAAAGAAATAAAAAAAGGATTCTCAAAAAAGGCAACAATTATTTGAAAAATGTGACAACTTTGATCCGATTTATTATTCGTTAAATTAATTTATATTTATTATTAGTCGAATATTCGTTTATTTTTTTATTGAATAAGAAACACAAAGAGCTTTAGAATATATAAATTTACTTTTAGATTACTGTCTGTTTTGTTTAAATTTTAGGTAAAATAAAATAAGATCATTATTTCATATTATGTTTGAAGAAGTGAAACTTGATAAATCAATTATTTTCATAGCCAAATCACCTAGACATCCTGGTGAGAAATTTGATGGATCAACTGAAAAAAGGAAGCTACAGATAAACGTGGGATCACAAAATTCAATAAACCTTTTTTGGTGATACAAGTTCGCAAAGTGTTAGACGACTCGGACAATTAATTGGTTCTTGCCCATGGGCCCTAGGAGCTGAGAATTTATCAACGCGGTTATCTTCGTTTTTGTGAATAGTTTTCAGGGTTATTATAATATCAGTCGATTTGATTTGAGTCGTTTTCACGTAGAATAAATGATAGCCCGCAGGACAGTATTGAAAGAGTTTAAATGAATACAACGTTACAAAAACGAAATTTTTTAATCAATAAATTGACTAGTTTTTGTGGTCCGCTTGACCACTTAAAAAATGGCAAAAAGGAGGGAAAATTCAAAAGGTGGGGTTGAGATGGAAAGTTAGTGTCCGAGTGGATAGAGGTCACGATAGCTCAAGTGGTAGAGCAGCGGCGTACCTAGCCGAAGATCGTGGGTTCGAATCTCGCTCGTGACATTGACTTTTTATCTCAACTAAAAACTTTAATTAATTGAAATTTATCAGTAAAATATGACAAAAAAAAATTGTTTTAAAAAAACCAATGCTGGTTAGTTTTAACATGATTTAAAGCCTTCAGTTTTTTTATTGCACGCAAAAATAGATATTTTTTGGATAGATCAGACCGGTAAATATTTTTTAATTCGGTGTCCAATATCTCCTAAATTTTTTTTTACTTGTACAAATTTTATTCCATGTACGTTATATCACAACGTCTAGAAAGCTGTGTTTCTCTTTTATTTACTTACGCATGAAAAGGGTTCAAAGAATATGATGTTTTTATCTTTTCAATAAAAAAATATTTGTTTGCTTACTTTATTGGAAGCGGCTTTTGGCTTTTTAGAACGTTTATATATAAGTAATCACATTTAAAGCAATGTTACATACTATTTTATAAAACTTAATTTGGCATTTACTGCAATCAATGGAATGTTATTTGACGTCAGGCATCTATAAGATGGAACTAACACTTAATTCAATTAATTAGCTTGCCCTTCTGATTTTCTACAGGGTTAAAAATGTCGATCAAGTGATAAGTATAAATAAAAAAAATCAGTATAACCAATATCTGAAACTTTAATTTTAAAGGGGAAAAATGAACAATTTCTCATAATTTTTCTATTTCTACAAACTAATAACAATCTATTCATTTGCTTACAATTATGCAATTTAAAAGTTTTCCTTATTAAACTATTTAATAAAAACGACGATTTTATTTGTTAAGCATTCCTTAGTGTTTTTCTTTTCTTTCGGAAAAATTATAGCCCCTCTAAACTTGGCAAAATAATTCTGGGAGACCCGCTCGATAACAGGACTATCATATACTATGCAGATTTTTCCTCATGCTTGACAAGCACTTTCTATGTACAGCAAGCATAGACAATACACTTCATTTAGTTCCGTTTTGTCAGCATAAATAAAGAATTTAACAGATAATGAAATGAAACTCAAATTTAATTAACAAGAATATGATACGAACATGTTATTGTTTACTGGTGCTAATCGTCAAATGTGGAAAAAGTTATGATAATAATTATTTTTTGTGTTACACAATAAAATTAGGTTTTTAATCAAAATTTTAATCAACACTTTGCCATTATAAACATAATTGTTTTTAATGTTATTGCTTATTGGGTAATTCATTTTTAAATATATCCCCTTTATTGTAAAAATTAGCAAATTATCAATGCATGCAATCATTTTGCTGGGAAAAATTCCAGTAATGGTTATAATCTGGATTAGCCTAATAGCGCTATGCCATCATTAGAGCTTTTGTCTCTATAAAATGGGGCGCTGGACAATTAACGAACGGGAGTTGTTTTTCCTGTGTAAATTTTTAACAGCATACCCTAAGTAAATTCTTTTCTACTTTTTTAAAATATAAACTATCGCTCATATAGTTTGCCGTAAACATATATACTAAAGAACAACAACAAATACAAGAATGGACCAAAATAAAGGCACATCTTACTTTTCGTGTTTTCAACTCTGAAGAGAAAATAAAAGATCATAGATAAATTAATAGTTAGATAAGAAAATATCTGGTGAGGTAAACCTCATTAAACATTTTGAGAAAACAGTGGAAGTTTGTTCATGCAAAAAATGTAGGAAAGTTTTCACTCTTTGAACTGAAGTCGCACAGCTCGTTCTAAATATAAGATTTTTTGCTTTGTGAATTGTTTAAACGATAATTCAGGTCCAACGTGATCCAACGTAACTCGAGGAAGGGATTTGCAAACTGATAGGTATCCTGACGGGACACTGCCCACTGAGAAGACACCTCTTCGTAATGGGTATCCTACCAGATCCCTTTTGCCGTTTTTGTGAAATAAAAGACGAAACGGCAAGGCACTACCTCGCAGAGTGTGATAGGTATGCTAGGTCTAGATTTGAAATTTTTGAAGGATCGGACATCGTCAAATCACTCCCCGGGATAAAATGGTCCAAAATCTTGTGGTTTATGAACAAGTCCAAGAGATTTATGCAGGACACGTGAGCCGACCAAGTCCCGGACCTTTTAGGGATCGGGTACGAGTCTACCCTGGCATTTAACTCCTCGGGTCTTGGTCGCCCACTCTGCGTAATATAAACCTGTAAGACGCCAACGTAGAACCTGCAGGATGAAGAACATGCGGTTTGGTCGTTTCCAATCATTAAGGACATTTTTCCCCTTAAAATTTGAAAACGTGGACCTTCTTATGCCCGAAGACTGCTTTTCAGGAGCCATGTCACTCGCATCCTGAAAGACCTGGCCCTCCTCGACCAGGTGTGCCACTCTGAGCGACCATTCTCCATAAGACCTGCGTGGGGTTTGCCCTAAAAGTAGGCTTCCATGTGTCCATCAAGTATATCTTTTCCTGAAATGTTTGAGAAAGATTCCTTTTTGCATTTCAAATCATCGGAGAGCCATCCTTGCTTATCACAATCTATCGATCGCATTTAGGCTTCTCGTCATCTTCAGTGTGTGCCTGTGTGATGTTTGTTGAGAGGGTGGAACGTCTTAAAAGTTTGTAAAATGGTATAAGATACAATGAAATTATATGAGGCGAGGATAATTTTATAAAGTGTCTTAGGTCTGAAGATTTTATGTGAATGTAGAGAGACAATTTGGCTGAAGACTACACCAAAGGTTAATATAATTATAATAATAATAAGGCTCTTTTAGTATTTTTACTTATTATCAAAATCAACCAAACTATTGCAATTGTATTATATTCAATTTTATCTATACAATAGCTTGGATTTTCAATGATGCTCAGTCAGAAATAAATTTATTTTAATTAAAACTGTCTCTGTTGAACTCCTTTTATATATTCAACATCCACACGGATGAATATGCTATACTCACATTTTGACAGGGACAGCCAGATAAAGGTTGTACAAATACATTCCTCAAACCGGCAATTTATGTTTAGATTAATACACGAATCTTCCAAAAGGAGGAAATTTACATGCAGTTATTTATGGCAGGGAACACGTATCTGGAAATTGCCAGGAGGTTCTAACACGTGACGGGCAACTTTCTCCACCATTACCTCTAATTTCCAGGCAGGTTGTCCACCAAAGCCGAAATGTCTTACAGCGTGGGTCGAGCTTGAAAGGCGGCGGATAAAGAGGAATCCCGCCCCCAGCAGGCGCCAATCTTAAAAATACGATCCAGATTGAGAACGGCGGAAAATCAACCCTGGACGTTTCCCATTTATTCTACGTTGTGACCCTCTTTCTATCTTATTGGAATGTCCTCTCTTCAGTTGGGAAAACCGGTTACGCTTTTTACCTCTTTATAATCAGTGCCCCATTGAAATTAAATCCCGGGGAATTGTTCGGATATTTCTTAATGTATAAACGTCTCATGAATTCTCTCTCACTCGCTCACACACACACACACACACACATACACACACACACACACACACACACACACACACACACACACACACNTATATATATAAGGAAAGGAAATATATACTACAGTAGATTATCGATATTCAATGAAACATTCCTCTGGCTTGGAAAATGGAATTCCTTAATTTCTCTAATGTAATAGAGGAAATATCTACAATTTTCCTTTGAGGAAACAACTAAATTAATAACTTTTATTTAAAATTTTTTTTCGAGGATTTGGATGATTCTTACCTTTTTCGGGTGTAGTCGTTGAATTTACAAGAGTCGACTTGCTTACAGGTAGGGTTATCTCTGAAACAGAACCAAAACTGAATTAAATCAATTAAAATTCCATTATAAAAATGTAATAAATAATCTAATACTAAAACCAACCCAGCACATCAATCGTTGAGCGACTTTTGAAAAATGATTGTATGCATTTTTACACCTATCAAATATTTACATTGGTTTTGTTGGCTTGCTTCGAACAAGTAGCTTGATGGTGGTACAATACGTCAAGTACATCCGTGCAGTGCAAAAAAAAAAACTTTCAAAGCTCCGGATTACGTTTAATTTTGCCATTTTAATCTTTGAAACTTTTTATAGCAACATAAGTAAATCATATCGGACCGAAAGGCATTCAGAGGCGAGTTCAAAGTTTAAATAGCTAATATAATAACTTTTCTGATTAATAAACTTTGGAATACGATTCGATGGAAGCATTGAGTTTCTGTTTAAAGTTATTATATTTGTACTAAATTTAATTAATGATGGAAAAACAAAACAAAATACAATGCACTCACCTCTGTAGCAGAGATGAATGTATAACTCATTTCAGAAAAATAAAATTATATACGATTTATTACGCACTTAAAAAGTACATTCAATAAAATTTGCATTATCTGACTCGAATCAAAGACAGATGGTTAATCAATAATAAATAAAATTATTATTTTTATTGAGAGTATAATATCGGGATTTATTTTTGAAAAAGGAAAACTGTCAGTAAGGTGAGCAGGTCATGTTTTAAATTTGAATAAATGAGTTTTTAATAACTGGATTACGGCCGGGTATCTGGCCAAGCCGTGGCATCCCCTAGCAAGGACGATTCTTGAGTGCCCGTACAGAGCCGTCTATGACATGCTTCGCTATGCTTCGCTGGCGGACGCGACCCCCGGGATTCGCTTCGGCGAGGCCTGAGGGAGGGCTGGACTGGCTCTGGGGATTTTGCTTCGGCTGGGCGACCGACCGACACCTCTCTGAACCATTCCTGCCGTACTCGTCCGCGACGACCTGGCGAGCTTGTCTAAGTCGTGTACACCGCCACACCTCTATAGGACTAAGTTCCTTGAACTTGGGAACAAGTACGCCGGTTTTGGTCTAGTCTTTACAGACAGGTCCAAGACTGGCGATGGTGTGGCCTGTGTCGTGTATAGCAAAGGAGTGGCCCCCTGTTCGCTACCCCCCCCCCCCATTGCAGCTATACACTTCAGAACTGTATGCGATCTGGCACGCTCTCGAGGCGGTGCGGACCGAGGAAGAATCTGCCTTCCTCGTATGCACCGACTCTCTGAGCGCTGTTTGGTCCCTGCAAGACGGGTTCTTTGTGGACCCTCTCGTCGTGCTGTTGATGGAAAAATTCGCCGAGTTGAAGCGCTTCGGAAAAACGGTGGTTGTTGTCTGGATCTCCGTACACGTCGGACTGGAGGGTAATGGACGTGCGGACGAGACGGCAAAGGCCGGGACGTCCCACCCTCCAGACCGGACCATCGCGACCAGACGCCAAGCTAGCAGTAAAGAACATGATAAAAGAAAGATGGCAGCGTCAGTGGGTCGGGTTGTCCGAGAGGCTTTTGCGCGTCAAGAGCACGATCCGTAGATGCCCCCCCCCCCCGAGAACCTGAGCCGAAACAAGAAATCGTCCTTACGCGATTAAGAATAGGCCATACTCGGTTGACACAAGGGCCCCTTATGCAAAGAAAGGTTGCTCGATGTGTCCCACATAATAGAGGCGTGTCATGCCTTGGCTCTATACAGAGAGCGTGTAGGCATGCCGCCGGACTTAAGAGGAGTTCTCGAACACGGTAGCGAGTTTCAGTCCCCTGTTCCGCTTTTTAGGGGAAATTGGTTTTTTTTATTGAATATAATATGTCTTATGTGTTGTGCCTGTATGTTTTGTCTGAGTGCATGTATTTATTAGCGTGAATGGCGAGGGGTGAGGGTGAAATACAACGTCATCATCGCCCCTCGAACGTTGAAAGCGTAAGACGTGTGTTCGGGGTCGATGGAGGAATATTTATAAAAGTACGACCCCAATCTAGTTTAGTTTAAGTATAGGTCGGTGGAGGAATATCTAGTACTCCATCGACCAAACGGAATGAGTGTACTGTGTGGATGTATTTAAGTGTATGAATGTATTTATTTGTATGAATGTAGTGTTTGAAAGTGTAAATAGAATATAGATATAGTTGGGGGCTGAAATGACCTAGATGTCGGAAGCTATAGTAAAAAAAAAATAACTGGATTAGATTCGTCTAAATTTGTATCATGGTTTTAGACAAAAAATAATTCATATGTAAGATTCGATTTAAAGGCCGTTGAGATTCGAAACCGGCACCCTGAAAGTGAAGAACTGCCGTGTCAATGCAAACCGATCGACCATCGATGCATTCAATCCTTTGCGCCTTTTATAGATCCATTGTAGAACTTCTATTATGACCATATCGTGGATAGTGGGTTCTTTCCCACAACTTAAGCATTTTGTTTTGCTGTGAGAATTGCCTTACTGAAGACACCCACGTATCTACTTTTTCTTGACAGTATCGATGTGCTTCCTATATTCTCCTCAAAGAGCGAGTTCTTTCCCCTTCCTTTTTGAGTGATTTATAAATCTCTTACTATGCTTCATAATCTTTTGACCATTGCTTGAGTTTTTCTTTTTTAAGCTATTTTTTCAGCTCCAAATTTAATACACGCTCCGTTGGGGCTAGTTGTGATTCCTGTTCCATGGGGAAAGGGGTGTCCTTTCTTTGGCTAGTTGGACAGCCTGTTTGTTTACTACTTTCCAGACCTACTGGTTTCAAAATCTTTTAAATCCGAATATTATTGACGAAGTTCTATTATATAAAGCGCGATTCCTTCAAATATCATACCCTCTTTATATGAGTTTTTCCTTTAAATAGCTAGAGACAGTATGCTCTGAAAGTCAAAAAGGCCCCTAGCCTGACAGCATTACAAATGGTTTCTATAAATATGCCCCCTAAGAGTTTCTAAACGCTGTCTTAGACCTTTTTATTTAGATTTATAACCTAGGGGCCCCTCCACCTTCCGGAAAATCAATTATATTCCCTCTTTTTATACATAGCGACATTAATGGTGTGGGTAATTATATTGGAATTTTATGTCTTGATATCGTAGACTATATTTTTTCCAGAAACCAGAATTTATTCTACATCCGATTTTATTTTTGCTCTGTGTGATTTAATTAACTGGAAACGGAAAAAGGAAAAATTTTTACAACTGCCTTCAAAATGCAACTAGCAAAGATTACGTTATTTACAAAAACGTAGTTACATACCCACGCACACACACAATAAATACACTTTTCAATGTACTGATACGATTGATTTGAACGTCCACCATCCAGTGGTAATTGGCCATTATGGCGTGAAGGTAATAGCGTACTGAAGAGTTGCAGGTGTTATTTAATCAGATAGTCGCGAGGCCACCTACGTTTCAGTCTTCTATGAGGTCAGACGGTAGGGATGAGCAGGACAGGTTTCGAATTAAGGTGTTGTCAAAAGAGTGAAATATATTGTAGTGGGCTAGATTTGGGACCTAGGGTGTCTTGAAATCGGAGCGGATAATATGATTGTTAACGTAGAATGGAGCATCAATAATTATGAGAAGAATTTGGGGCCGAAAAGATCGGATTTTGTAAAGATTGGAACGCTTGGCTATCCCGTACAGGTTGAGTCCGTCGATCTATTGGGTTGTCCGGAAAATAATGCAGGATTTTAAGTTTTCATTAAAAAAAATCTATATAAAATATTCTGTTTACGTTTACAGGATTACTCATTTGTATGAATGTCAACACTTATTAATCCTCTTCCAAATGATATTGTTTGTTTACCTCTGTAGCATTCCGCTACTTGGAAATAATTCAGTCATCCTTATAATGTCAAAGCGAGAATTTCGTACGATTTTCTTTTACGAGTTTAAACTCGGCCGAAGCGGAGCCCAAACGGCTAGAAACATTAACCAAGTCTGGGGCGAGGGTTGTGTTAATGAGTGCACTGTGCAAAGGTGGTTTAAAAAATTTCGGGAGGGAGATTTCAGCCTTGAAGATGAAGAAGGTCGTGGAAGGCCTTCCTCTCTTAATGATGATGTTCTGCGATCAGTGGTGGAAGAAAACCCCAAAACAACTGTTCGAGAACTTGCAGAGCAACTCAAAGTCAGTAAAACGACCGTCGCTGACCACCTCAAGGCGATTGGAAAAGTGAAAAAACTCGAAAATTGGGTTCCACACTCATTAAACGATCGCCAAAAAAATCAGCGCTTTGATGTTTGTGCATCACTTCTTTGTCGAAACAAAAATGACCCATTTCTGGCCAGAATTGTTACATGTGACGAAAAGTGGATTCTGGACAGTGGCTCGACAAAGGAGAAGCTCCAATACATTTTCCAAAGCCCCCAACTCATCAAAAAAAGGTAATGGTTACGGTATGGTGGGCTTCATTTGGTTTAATACACTACAGCTTCTTAAATCCTGGCGAAACCATCAATGCTGAATCATACTGTAACCAAATTAATACCATGCATCAGAAATTGGCAGTAATGAAGCCCTCTTTGGTCAATCGGAAAGGGCCCATTTTGTTGCATGACAACGCTCGACCACATGTGTCACGTGTAACGTCACAAAAATTATTGGAGCTTGGCTATGAAACTTTGCCTCACCCACCCTACTCTCCGGACCTCTCGCCTACTGACTACCATTTTTTTAGACACCTGGACCACTACTTACAACACATAATATTCAAAAATCAAACGGAACTGGAAAATGCATTTATTGACTTTATCAATTCTAAAAATTCTGAATTCTACTCAGACGGAATTAATAAGTTACCAACACGTTGGGAGAAATGTATTGAGAGTATGGGAAATTATTTTGATTAAAGAACATTGCTTTAAAGTAACTAGTTTCTTTTTTTTTGTTTAATACCAAAATCCTGCATTATTTTCCGGACAACCCAATAATTGAGGCGATTTTTTGTTGATCAAATCATCTTGACTTTATTGATAGGAGGTGTCGACTCCTAAAATTACGCGATCTAGTAATCTCATAGGAAGTTCTCTCTGTCTTAAAATGATTTCCCGTGGTCGATTGTAAAAATTCGGGCAGGATTGTCTGAGGGCTTTAACGTGGACTGTGATGTTAAGCAAGGCTGCTCCTGAAGTCCCTTTTGTTTTTGTTGGTTTCCTTTAAAATGATCTTCCTTAGGTTTTCGAATATTGTATAAAAATAGAAAACACCATCGTAAAAAGTAACTTTACTTGGACGATATTGGAGTCATTGCGTTTATGGTACAAGAAATATTCAGTTTATATGCTTATATAGCTTTTATAAAGGAACATCAATAGAATTGAAAGAGGGGCAGATTAATGAGTTATTTCAGGTGTTATTTCCAACGGAAACATATCGACATAACAAATACATAAAAATGAGATGTACTCACTCCCATGCCCATACATTTCAAACAAAAGGTGTCTGCAGTAAGATTAACACAATGGGTGCTCATCACCCAGTTAATTTAAATCTTCCTAAGAGACACATTCTAACTTATTGTTAGTATTATACAATTTACATTATTATTAGTTATATTATTATAAAAAAATAAAGTGTTAGTAGTAGTTGACAATCCCAAACAAATTTGGGGTTCTCATAATAGAAGATGATTTAGAAGAAAATTCTCTAGAAGTTCTAAGGGAAGGCAAACGAAATTATGCACAGATAACTATGGTTATAATCGGATTTCTCGATCACCAAGATAGTAACTGAACACGGCCAAAAGGATGAGAATGAATGAATGAATTTAATTTATTTGACAGACATTTTCTAACAATAAATAATTGTATCCTCTCCATTTGTGTATCATACCTCTTGAAAAACATTTTTGTTGATGTTGATTGGAAAATGTTCACGAAAAACCCATTTACCTTTACACTAACAAATACTTTACATTAACAAAATCATTGCGGTTCTGTTCAGAACTGGGAAAACTACCTACTTAATAGTTTTACCAATAACTAACTAATTAACTAACTAAAATATTATATACATATGTTATCAAAATAAATAAATATTAATTTAATAAGTTGCTCTAATATAGTATAAACAGTGAAATATTTAGTTTAAAAAATAAGTAAACAAGTTAGTTTAAATAATTAAATAAATAAGTTAGTTTAACAAATTAAAGTCAACAATAAATTGACAAATTAACAAATTAATAGTTTAATAAATTAACAAATCAGTAAGTTTGTGGATAAATAATTTTATAAGTTATTAAGTAACACATAGTTAAATAAGTGAGTAGGCTGATGAATAAAGGATGAGAACCTTTGAAATCCCAAAGCAGTTAGTAGACGTTTCAATTGTAAGTATCTGACAAGTTATTTTGTACATTTTATTGACATGACCCAGAAAATTCGAAGGAACAAAAATAAACACAACGCATTTTGGTCATTACTGATTATTATTATCTGTTCAGCATTGATGATAGTGAAATGCCGAAACACGTCTCTCAGACCAAGTCAGAAAAAGGAAACCAAAATTGATCTGTACGGCCAAATTTTACGTTTATCACCCAGCAGACTAATATAAAATTGACTGTGTAACGAAAAATGTTTTCTTTCTAAAATTCTAAATGCTTCGAAGATTAACCATAAAATACCAGGAATAATATTTTCATTGGCACGACAAAGATATCAAACAAAATAATTTAAATTTTCATTAAAGGGAATGTCACCATAGCAAAACTTCGATCCGCCCGAGGAGATTCGGCATGCGGGAAGAGGGAGCAAAGGTTTCCCCGATCCCAGAACTCCCTTCCACTTCCAAGGTATTTCCCTTGTTAATTCCCGGTTCCAGGGGCTTCCCTCTCCAAAAGCCGGGGCTTAAAAATCGCGAGATCTGAGGACGGCGAGCGCAAATGGGTCTTAATTGTAATACCCTCCCGGGGTTATTCGGAGGCTATGCAAATTGTCCTCGTTCCCTGACCGCTCCCATCTTGGTGTCATTGTCTCGAAATCTGCTCGCTCCGGGTCCATTGGCCAAAGAGAATTCCCATTTGTGCTTTCTAAGTCCCATCCTGTTGCATTGCATTTGCAGTTTGTGGAAAAACGTCACACATAGAAAATAATACGTACGTACAAATAATAAACACTTCTGCCGATTGAACTTTGGGACAAATATTGTAAAAAAAATAGAAGTATTTTTTTATATTTTTTTATATATAATTTGTTGTACATTACAACTACCTTAAAGTAGGTACAATAATAAGTAACAGTGAGAAAGGTAATTAAAACAAAACAAAATTAAAACCAACAGTGGAGAAAACACCCATTGGTATTACTCCAATGTTACAATAATATTGTTTGTTCAATTGATACGTGTGTCATTATCACTTTCACTGTCATCATCATCACTTCCTAGGAGATCTCGCGGCCATTGTCTCTTCAGTAGTCGAGGAGGGTTTGAGGGGATTCGTCGGGATGCGAGGTTTCTGATGTGTTGGTTTACGTTAGTTGGGAGGTTTTTATGAAATTTACGGTAACGGAAACGTATTTTATCTTGTACGAAAGGAATATGTAAATCTGTATGTGTAGTTTGGTTCGATACATAAAATGGAGCATCTATATTTTTCGTAGTATTATAGACTGGGCAGTTTGAATGCGATGGATATTGGAATGTTTGGCTGAACCCCACACTTCCAGNTGGGATAGGTGTCGATAGTTAATAGAACAGGACTATGATCCGATGAGAGATCATTCAATGTACAAACATGGTGGTGAAGTGAAGAGAGTTGGGATGTAATGAAGAGGTCTAGGGGATCTGGGCGTTTGTTAGCAGCAGTGGGCCAATATGTAGGATCAGGAGGAGATATGAAGTTGAGGCGTTGGGCGGAGATGCTTAATGCGGACCCGACCACTCGGAATGGGCAAGCGGAGAGCGAGGTTTGTCTTGGCCCCTCGGGGTTGGGCGGCCTCTGCACCAATGTTGCGGCAGAAACACACTTCTGTCGTATGCGGAGGTGCGTCAGCTCTCATTTTGAGAATCAAAACGTCCGATAAGGCCTATGTGCCTGGTGCGGACGTTAAAAATCCTCATTGTCCTTTTAAGGATGACCGAGTTTGTAGGAAGCAAAGTGCGTCAACTGACACTAAGTAACTGTCTAATGAGATTGAGAGCTTTGAACACCCAAAGGTTGATGGTATCTGACTAGTAAATTTGTACATTTTTAGTTAAGATATATAAAAGCAAATATATAATTACATGTACATGAGTAGAAAAATAAAGATATCTGTAGATAACTCGTTGCCGATCACTTTTATATGGCTATCCTCGCGTTTCTGCTTCACAGTGTCTTCAGTGAGAAAAGTACTGATCAGTCTTACCGACCCTACACGAAGTAGGCGGAAAGATAAACAGATAGCCATAACATAAAGATAGCCTATTTAACTATAATTGTGAGGTTTCTTCGTGTCCAAAGTGATGACCCTGAAATTTAGTCGTTACCGACCATTTTGGTCTGTCTTTCCGAAAGACTTCGTCATTCAGATACAGAATATCCGATGAAATGATCTTCACTGCAAACAAATCACTAGGCTCGAGTTGATTCAAAGCGTATTTCCAGCGGCTTTAACTTCAAAATGTAGCAGAAGTCTGTAGAACAAGGATAACCGATTGTGATTAATTACAATTAAAATATCAAAATCGAAAAGGCACTATTTATTTAAAATTTACGTTGTAAAACGTTTCGAAATGGCGTGATATCGGGTGTTTATGTTTTTACAATGTTCATGATTTTAAAACCTATCTTAACAAAACTAAAATTAATGTCAGGTATAAAATCAACAGCGACGCGCAGGAAAACGTAATAAAATAACACTCATTAAGAAAACCATTATATGTAAGTCCATCTTCATGTTGAACTAAGAATACTTTTAATTTTAATGCTCTCACCCCCGCAAGGCTTATTCACTCCAGTGCGCACAAAATCACTGAAAGATGGCCGAAAAAGGAGTCAGTTTCGAAATAAAATTGCACCTTGGGGCGTTTTAGGGTTGAAGTATGCTCCCATTCTTTGCACGCCCGGAGTAATTTCAGGCCTCATGGTTGACTTTATTTCGTCATTCCACAAATAACAAACATGAAATTTGTTGAATAAAATTTGTCGTATCGCGTCAATTTGGTTTATCTGAACCTAAATTGCCTTTCGAGGGAACAGGTCACCGTTTTCAGTCTAACAATTACTTAACTCAAATTACATATTAAAATTTATATAAAAATATTGTCTTACCTTCTAATTTGATAACTCCGTCTGTTTCACCTAGGGAATTTTTGGCGACGCACTGGTATGAACCAAAGTCCTTTCTGGTCACATTGCGAATCTTGAGTACCATGTACCTGGCGTATCCTTGGTCGGAAGTCGAAGTCTCGAATTTTTCACCTGTCACAAAACAAATCAATAATTTTACTTGTAAAAATGAATGTAAAAAGAACTATATTTACAGAAACGAAAATACATTTTATATACTTAAGGAAGTATAACAATATTAAAAAGTAGATTCATTGGAGGTGAGACTATTTAGACCACAGGATCGATGGGCCGTGCTTTCGCAGTCCCTTTGCGCACTGAGCATCGGGAACAAGCCAGCTTTTGCCCTTTTGCTCTACACCAGGTTTCTGTCCTCGCTGAGCTGACCTTAGGACACCTGCGTTATTATTTGACAGATGTACCGCCCCAGCCGAACTCCCAACCTGGTAGTGTCCTCGAATCGGATCACGCCATGGAATATGTCGCCGGCAGGCCCGGCTGGTGCGAGAGACGCGGCGCAGCCGGTCCGGGCCGAAGCCCTTCTCGGAGCGAGCGCGACTCCTTACAGACCAGGTTCTGACGACCCTTTGCGCTTGGGGCGAAATATACCGTCTCGCCGGGGTTTTAAGCCCGTCGGATGCCTTCCGCCTCATCGAGTAAGTAAGGAAACGATGAGGAACTAAAACAATCGAAAATCACTTTTCTTGGAGAGCATTATAAAGGACTTATGTCGATTACGAAATTCAACAACCGGAAAAAGTTGGCCAAGCAAGGGCGCAGGCTTGGTTGCATTTTTGCTATACGAAAATTTTAATCTGTAAGGTTCTTTCTTTAATTTTGGAACTAGAACCGGTGAAACCTGATAATCACGCACAGACCTTCGTTGGATTTTCAAAGTTGAAAGTTCAACATCTCAGCTGTATATGTTATTAAGTACTCGAGGAGCACTTAAGTCTACATTATAGGAAATAGCTTATTATCAAGATCCCAACTTTTAACAATGCTAATAAGCAAAAATAAAATATTTCAAATATTGTAAAGTAAGTTTGGTGGGATGGTTTGGGCCTACTAATACACTGCATTCTCAACGAATACATTGTAAACATCTTTTAGTACATTTTTATTAATATCTGAGATACATAACATCCATTTTTAATTAATTGCTGTAAAATAGTTGTATTATGGTTTATGTTGTCTATAATCCTACTTATCCTGTAAAACTTGATTTTACGCTTTCTTAACACCATTATTTAGCAGTTGACATTATTTATTAGTGTTTAACCTACGCAACAAATAAAACCACTTTCCAAAAAAGCGTCCATAAAATGTCAGTTAAACTGGCCAATAATTTTATCAATGTCTAGAATGACTTACCGTTTACGATCATGTCCCCTTTTTCAGTTGTCCAATAATTGATGGACGATGGGAATGCTTCTGTCTGGCAGGCTAGCGAAATATCTTGACCAATATACGCCCCTTCAAGTTGATTTGCTATAGAAAGCATTGGAGGAACTGGAGAAATAAACAGAAGAGATTTTTTATAAAGCATTCGTCTAAAAGTAAAATATTAAAAGTATAATAATATTATGGTTTGGAAAAACTCTCGATTGACGTATACGTAAACGTGATTATGTACTAGAGCATTAGTTTAAATTCATAAAGAAAAAAGAAATGAAGTGAAAGTTTAATTTTTTAAAAATAAATTTGATTTTGCTTCCATATGTGAAAGTGTCAGTAGCATGTTAAGTGAAACTTTTAAGTTGTTAAGGCTCATTATTGAAACAAACAACAAACTTCCCTCAAACTTAAGTTTAATCTTAATAAAGCGCAAACGATAAATCTAATACCCGAGAACATGAAAATTCATTGAAATTAACCGCTTAACTGCTAAAACCTAGCAGTCATAACTCGGTCTGTTTGTCCATTAGTATGTGCCTATCCATAGATGATTATTCGTGGTCTGTTACGCTTCTGCTCCAAAGCTTCCTTACATACTCTATTTACATAGAAAATTAAACCGGAGTAAATATCGGACTGGAAGCATTTCTCTTGACACCGTTCTTATTCAAAACTGGGGGCGTAATTACAGGGTAAAATTATAACGTTATAGTTTCGTTCAAAAGTTTCTTAGACACTATTCGTACTTGTTTCCATGTAAAAACAAAAAACGCTATTACCTATGAATTGATTCAATAAAAGAAATTATAAATGCTGATTTTAAAGTGTTGCAACAATCCTTGTAAAAGAAATCATGTTTTGGTTTTTGTATCTTTCTATACACATATCTAAGCTCATTTACCAGGTAACCAGAAAAGAGGTTTTTCATTCATGCTTATTGCAGTGTCGTTAATCAACTTTTTTTTACATAGGGAGAGTAGATGTTTTCCTCACACAATGCCAAGAGGATAATGCGTAGTTCATAAAGAAAACTGTCTCGAACTGTTTACTGTAAATTATAAAATAATAACTTCCTCATTATTTCAAAACCCATGATTCGTGGTACCTATTGTAAGTATTTATGTTCGGTTATAAAGTGGCTATGGCAGCTCGTAAAATTACCAATGTATTCAGTGATGAAAAAATTAGTGATTAAGTGGTTCCAAAAGTTTGCTTTTGGGAAGGAGGGGATGAGAATTAACCACGTTCTGATAGACGTCTGTCTTGAATGACGACGAACTGAGGGATGCTGTCTACCTTCAAGACAACTAACTAGCTTCGAGTTAAGCATGTCAGAGGCTTGCTAGAATGTACAACGAAGAGATGAACCCGTTCGCTCTAGCTTACATTGACTTGGAAAGATGTGGAAGCTGAGCATATGGGTCCTGATAAAACTGACCGTCGGTATTAAGCTTCATCATCTAAAATTTGTTATCCTTTGGTTTTACTGCCCAAAGGCTTTTCACTAGAATGTTACTTGCATCGAAAAATGGATCCTGTACAGTAAGCTAATGAAGACGTGCAATTGGCGGTCACCAAATAACCCTGCCCTATTGACGGGATAACCAAATATCCACCATCAAAAGTTATGCTTTGTATTTGTACAGGAAGCATTGGGTTCTATGAACTCCTGCCACGTGGCCAGACAGCAGAAATATACTCTAGCCGGCTGCAACTGATCTCTTGCCCTTGGCCGTGAAACAACTTATTCTCCAGCACAGAAAACGTGCAGCTTTTCACTAGGACAAAGTGAAAACGTACAGCCAGAACGACAAAAGGAAGTGATAATGATGCGTAGTTGGCAAGTCCTACCACACCCTCCGCATTCTCCAGATTTGGCTCCATCTGACTTTCATTCTTCTTAGCTAGAAGTTCAGAGTTCAATAATTGCCGCCAACTGGAAAATTAGCCGAATTTATGTTTATGTCCCGTGACCCAAATATTGATAAGAAAAGCATAACAAGGCTAGTAACTGGTTGGGAGAAAGTTACGGACATCAATGGGATTTTTTCCCCGAATAAAATATTTCTGAACCAATTTTAATTATGACACTTACTAAACCATTTAAACCGACAGGAATTTTTCTGGTTATCTGGCATTACAATCGTACATACAATTACTAATTTTCTTATCTTAGTTAAGAGTTGGCTGATATGGAATAAACTTGTTATACATGCGCAACAAAGGCAAAAAGCCATTTTATTTTTTACGGCTCAAAACATTAGAAAGTAAATTTGGACACAAATCTAGTATTTTTTGACTGAGTACAACAAAAATTTATTTAAATTGAAATAGGTGTTCAACGTCTGTCATTAACCAGTTACTGGCATCTGAGAAATCATCTAGATAACATGGGCATACGATGATCCGATTTGCAGATTATGCAAGGAGGAGAAAGAAACAAGAGAAAAATAATAAGAAACTATATAATCTTCGAACAATAAGCAACAGCTCAACGTACATAACCTAGGATTCAAAAAAGAAAAAGAAAATAAAAAACTGCTGAGAAGAAAGTTTGAGTCCTTTGCACTGAACTAGGGAACTAGGAACTAGGAAGGTACAATAAGTCAGAAGACTACTGCATAAATCCCGCTTCTTAGTATCCTCATAACCATCACCATCATTATCTCACGTAGTAGCCTCTCCTAGTAAGTCTGACTGAATAAACAACCTCTCACTTTTCAGAATCAGTGTTTCCGACAGTGTTGAAAAAACCCAATATCTTCAGATTAACTGTACAACTGAAGAATGATATAAAACGATTAATTAATCAAATTATTCTTTTTAATTGAACTTTATTATACCCGTTTTTAAATTATATTGAACAAAAAAAACCTTAAAGAACGATGAGAGGCCTGGATATAAATTGTACTCACTCGTATTTAAAAACAGCGTATTCACTGTTTTTCGGAATAATATGAGGAAAGGGTTCCTAGCAGATGCCCACCCACGGCAAAGAACTTAATTTAGTCTTTTTTTTATCACTCAGTCCTGATGAAAACCTATGTCAAAAGGGGTTTCCGTTTGAGGGGCGAGTTTTTCAACTGTATACTGGTAAAGAAAGCGAAACTTAGGCGTAAAGCTGCAAAACTAATAACGCACGCACTCCGCAAAACGATAAAAAACCCTGTGGAAGGCCGGGGGAGGTCCGGTTTAAATTAATATTGACACAGCGGACAGCGTCATAATTGCAGATCCTTCGGAATAATATTTCCGTACTGTCCTTCGATTTTAATTGTCTCTATCTACTCAATTTTAACAAGAAGGGAAATACTAGAAAAACTTAGCAAAGTAACAATTTTGGAAGAAATAGTGCGAAAATTTGTTCGTTTGAATATATTATTTTTTATAATATACGCTGCGTGATATTTGCTCGGATGTTTCTAAGCGTACAAAAGTTTCTGATTAGTAAAACGGGCATATAATAATGTTCACTTTGATTTCTATATCATAAAATGATTAAAATCGGACTACCTCCTATAATCTTTCAAAATACTTTAAATTTGTATAGTATTAGGGAAATAATTCTAACAATTGCAGATAAAGTTTTGCGACAAGAGAATCACCGCGCGGCATTCCTCAAGGTGGAATCCTCAGCCCCTTTTTGTATAGTAGTTATAGTTTTTCTCACCCTCATATCTCTGCTTCCTCTTAAGATGAATTTTTGAAATTTGAAAAATAGAAGGTCGCTTTGTCATTTTATACATTTGAGAATTTCATATTAAGCCTTAGAAAGGGAAGAATTACAAAATTTACATTTTTTTACTGATTGATTCAATGACCATCAAAATTGTAAGGTACTTCCCGAATAGCTAGAAACGTGAAATTCGGTAAAAGTTATGTTATCGCAAGCAAAAGATGTAAGTAATCTGAAAATTGCAATTTTCTCAGAATTAGTGCCGCTTTGAGGGGAGTCTTACCATCAAAATTATAAGGCACTTCCACCATACGCACATGAAATTTAGTAAAAAGGTTTATTTATTGTAAGAAAGGTAAGAATGTGATTATTGCAATATTCCTAAAATTAAAGTTGTTATTAGAGAGGAGAGGGTAGTCCCATCGTCAAAATTATAATGTACTTTCCGTAGAAGTAAGAAACATGTAATTTGTTACAAAGGAGTCTTTTAAAAAATCATCTTGTAAAAATCTAAAAATTTAAATTTTCTAAAAACTTGCCGCTGCAGGGTTTGAGGGGGCAAATTCATCATCAAAATTACAAGCTACTCTTCGAATGGATAGAAACGTGAAATTCCGTAAAAGTTAGGTTTTTATCGCAAATAAAACGAGTACGTAATCTGAAAACTGCAATTTTCCCTAAATTAGTACCGCTTTAGGGGAAGGTAGGTAGGTGGTGTAGTCTTATCATCAAAATTATAAGGCACTTCCAGTGTAGGTAGAAACAAAAAAATTGGTAAAAAGATAATATTTATTGCAAAAAAGATGAGAATTTGAAAATTGCATTTTTCCTAAAATTAATGTCGTTTTAGAGATCATCAAAATTAAAATATACTTCCCGTGTAAGTTAGGAACGTGAAATTAGTTACGTTACAAAGGTTATCTTAGATTGTAAAAAAGTTAAAAATCTAAAAATTTCCCGCCACTTTTGGGGGAAAGGGTGTAGTCTCATAATCAAAATTATAAGACACTTTTCATATAGAAATGACGAACGATGGAGTGAGTGCGTTGTTCAATCCTTTTTTAAAAAAGATAGTTCCTACTCACAGTAAGTTGTTTTCCAACGATCCGGATATCGAGCCCTTAACTCATCATCAGGTTGAAGGATTTCTACGACCACGTCTCTCGACATGAATTTCAAAGTATTAAATATAAAGGACAAGGCGGTAGAGAAATAAAAACGAGAGTAAAAGAACACTTGCCTAAATCGAACAAATTTTCGGAATTTAAAGACCATCTAAAAGAAAGAAAACATAATTTCAATTCAAGGGAACAAAGGGAGAGAACTAGATTGGTTTGAGAAATTTGAAATAAAAAAATGTAAAATCGAACATGGAGATAAACGCATTAATAATATAATAGATTTTGATCTACCTCCCATTTTAAATATGTTCATAAATAATATTAAACGTCCAAATAATTAAATTAATTATTTTAATTGTTATTATTTTTATAATAATTTATGAATATTAAGGTATTATTCTAATTTTTTTACTTTTATCTTTAAGTACTAATTTATAATTAATTACGTACAGTATTTACCATTATAATATTTACTTGTGTTATAATTCCCGCATTTCGCATGTTCAAATTCAGCGCCATTGAAATATCAGCTTCTCGCGACGTTCAAGGCGTTGACGGGTATCGGCGGGTATACTTGTGCAATTCTTGTCGAGAAACGTGGTTGTAGAAATCCTTCAACCTGATGATGAGTTAAGGGCTCGAAATCTGGATTGTTGGAAAACAACTTACTGTGAGTAGGAACTATCTTAAAAAAAAAAAAAGGACTTTCCATATAGGTTGAAAAATAAATTTGGTCCAAAGGTTCAAGTACCAAAACGAAGACGACATCCACGATGCTGAAGCGAAAAAATAAGTATGATATCCCAACAAAAATGAAACCGTGAAAAAACGGGGTCAAGTTTCTTTTCCTCGAAGAAGTCAGCCTTTTTCGAACTCAATTGGTAACCTAGGATTGATTTATGCTAATCGAAACAACAATTATTTCAAATATTGTCGCGTAATTTCATTCAGTTTACATTGTAAATTAATTCAGTATACTTGTAGAAAATTGCATCTCGTGCCTATTCAACACATTTGTGAGTAACATGGCTTTGTGATAATTGATGAAAAAAACATTATTATCCTGTTGTTCAAGTCTTTTTATAAGAGCTTAACTTTTTTCTTTAGATGTTGTTATATACAGTTATAATTTGTCAACAGTATACTTTTTCAATTCTGAAGAGTATCTGACCTTTCATACAATAATAAAGTATCTCTCATCCTTCACCCGTCATAATGAACACGATACAGCCATATGTGTTTTGTGACGGCAGTAAAATAAAAGCTGCTGAGTCAGAGAGCGCGGGGCTTTAGTGAAATTAAATTAATGGACCGGCCTGATTGAAAAACAGTGTTGATTATACTTACATTGAACACGGAGGAAGACCCTCTTGCTGATGGAAGGGGGAACGCCGTTGGATGCTATGCACAAGTACGCGCCCATGTGAAGTCTGCTGACTTTTTTGATTGTCAGGATCTCGCCGTCTACGACGTTTACTGAAACAATAAATAATAATATTATTATTGGCTTGGTCATAATTTATTATCAGCAGGATAAGGATGTCCGATCACGGAAATTCAATGAAAATTGTCTTTTTTCATAAGCGTTCTTAACAATGAATGGGCCCTGTTTTACAAATTTTTCTTATACATAGAATTGAGAACATTATAATTTTTAATTGTTATATAGCAGCTCATTCAAAACATTGATATTGAAACATTTCTTATCGAAAATTAATACATAAAAATATTAAAATTATACACACTATTTGTAAACAAATATAAGTAACTAAATAGAATATAGAAAATATAAATGGAGTAACGTTCATGTGTTCACATATCACTAATAAATTGCCGCAGTCTAATAATGATTTTCACATATTGATATAAAATGATTAATTTTTCTTTAGTCCTTGTAGGCAATATAATTAATACAGTAATTACATAGCTGTTAGAAATATTAAGTAGTTTGAAATAATGTGTATGCTGTTAAGTGTAATAACATTTGAAACAGATCTTCATACGAATTCGAACTACAACAGACAGTAAATTTCTGAATGTCAACCATTATAACAATGACCAGTGATGTTTAGTTTAATGTAGCGATTATTGCCCGTTCTCATTTGCGCAATAAGTTTAGTAATTGCACTTGGCATTTTAGGTAGCAAGTAATTTTAGAACATTTTACTCTCCTCAATCCCAAAATGTTATTAACAGGACTTCAATTTTTTTGTGTATATATACGTATTTTGGCTTCATTGTGAACATTTTTCAAGGTTATAATATATCTGTTCATTTACTCTTTTTCATGGAAAGGTAAATATGATGGAGGATTAAAATAAATGAGATTAAAAGAATAAAATGTTACAAAAATTAGTGAATGTTTAGAGGAAATCCATTATATTTCGTGGTCCGATTGACCAAATAATTTCTTTCAATTAATTAATTTAACTTTTAATTAAATTAACTTTTAATTAATTAATTTTTGGTATTGGTTGAAATGAAAAAGCTAGGGCCACAAAGTTAGAGTAAAATTGATAAAAAATGTTTTTGAAAACACCTTACAAAAAAAAAAAAAAAAAATCGATTCTTTTTTACCACCCTATATGGATTTTCATCAAATCGTTTAAACGAAAACTATATATTTGGGGCGGGATTAATCTGGGAGGGGGGGGGGCAATTTTTTGTCTATGTCCGGTGTTACATTTAAAAATTCCTAGCTCCTCCGAATTTGATACAAATTCAATGAAATAATGAGCGTTAGAATGTGGGAATTTTCGTCTTCAGGTAGTACATATGAGGAAAATAAAAATGAATTTAACTAAAACTCGTCAAACGGCTAGATTCGGGCAATTAAATAATTCTACGTAAAGTTTCTGGTAAATCGTCATAAGGCCAAATTCTTAAAACAAGAAATCGTTAAATTTGAAACGGCTCAACCATTAATAGAAAACTTTATAAGGGTTAAAATGTTCTTAACAAAACGTGGTGGCATCCATTTGGAACTGGTAAATAAATTAAAATTGCAGATATTGAAAAAGTTTAAAGAATTTTGATTGATTTAATTTTTATTTTTCGCAATAGATTTAAATAAAATGCAAACATGGATTAGTCCTAATCGAGAATATTTCCACTGTCAAATGGTTTTTGTCCGTTATACTTGAATCAGAGCTAGAAAAATCATGAATTCTAAGGTGGAATACCAGACCCTGGCGAAATAGAATTGACCCCGGCGAAAAAAGCCAAGAAAATATTTTTTAACGAGGAAAAAACCCAGTTGTAAGTATGTCGGGTTCGAATCCAGCGGCCCTGTATTCGTATCCCTATATATACTGAGATGAGCGCCGATTCAACGCCTAAACCTCAGGGGCCCGTCGGTAGGCTGTGATAGTAAGTTTGAACTTAACTAAACAACCTCATTTTCCAGAATCAGTATTGCCCACAGTGTTACCCAGATCCAGGCTGAAGAAGCAAAACCCAAAAAATGTATCTGCAGAGTAACTGTTTAACTGAAGAATGATAAAACAATGATTAATTGATCAAATTATTCTTTTTAATTGAACTTTATTATACCTGTTTTTGAATTATGTTGGTGCTTTAACTGTTGCGGCCGCCGACGCGACGCACCAAAAGTTACTGTTTTTTTTCTGTTCATCTTCAAGAATGCTTAGACATGTATAACTAATATTTTTAAAATACGAAGTAAGAAATAAGTATAACCAAAGAAATTCTTTAAAATTAGTGATGTGTAGGAGCCTTTTTATGTATTATAAAAATAATGAAATAATTGCCAATTTATTATCTACGATTCAAGAGTTTCCTCATTTTATCGTCTGTAAATTTTGTGATCCCTTTATTCTTATAGAGGTCAATCATGACAGATTATTTTCAAAATTGAAAATTGACTGATCAAAACAATCAAGGATGACCGAAGTGCATATTATTCATCAATATCATTTTCGTCGATCCCACAAGATAAATCATATTTTACTATCTACAGCAAGTTGTCACTTACTAAATAGTCAATTAAAAATATTTTAAAATGTACGACTTTTACATCTTAGGTCACATTAAGTTAAACAAAATAAGTTTTAAGCTATAATTAAGATAAATGTTTGTATAAAATAGGCAACACCATGGCCCTTTAAAAACATGAATGATGGGTAAAATTTCTTCAAATCTTCACGACTGTGACATACATTGTAATTATACATCAAGAGACTTGGCATCTTCATGAAATCTTCATTCTCGAGTTGTAATGAAGTTAAGACGCAGTAGGCTTTACGATTGTCATGGTACACTCCTTGTCATAAATGATTAGATGTAAGCACTTTTAAGAAAAAAAATTGATAATTTTTATTCAGTCCAATCACCACACTTTTAAGTAAGGCCGAATCAAGTATGTCCAAAGAGGGAATGTCTTTTAATAAATAATATTCATAGAAAGCTCATCGTTCGTATAACCCGGTTATAAAGCAGCCTGTGGGATCGTTTTAGCAATTGATCTATCGCTAACTTAGAAACTGCACCATCATTGTTTCTTCCGATTTTGATACTTGCTACTTGTAACTACGGCCATTCACCCACTGTCTTTTCCTATTTCGATTCCTTTTCATTATTAACAGATTAATTTTTACCTGGTTCCCAAAAAGAATGTCAAGAATATTGATTGTATTGACCTAATAAGGAATAATTTTCTGTTAAGATTACAATAGTTAATAGGGCACTTTTCTTCTTTTCTTTAAAAAAGGACTAGTTTTTCTAAACATAAAAAGTAATTATAAATTTTTAAATACTTAAGCCAGAATAAATTATTTCTAATTGAAATTCAAATAGAATTTTTTTATGACTCAATGATTTTCGTGATGTAACTTGAACTTTTGATCATAGCAATTTTGATGATACAATTTAAGAGTTTCACAATTTACTGGAATATTCTGAATTTAAAATATACGACTCTCATTCTCTGAAAGCCGTATCCGACAAGAAGCCTTTGTCAACTTTTCACAGGCAAATTGATTCAGGATTTGTGCGGAAAGGGTTAACGGAAATTACGAGACGATGAGAGGAAAAGGATAATAGTAAAAAGAAAAAGAAAAAAAGAAAAGGGAAAAATAAAGCGCTTGTTAATATCTTAGATTGTTATTTCACTTCCTAAATTGCTTTTACTGTTAAAACCGTTTTCTTTATATTTTCAAGTTTTCTTTTAATTAACAGTTAGTGACAAGTTCGATTACGAATGGTGTCAAAGGGGGATTCGAATATAAATAATCTCTCCTGAATGTACATATTAAAACCGAAAAGGAGGAGATGAAAAATCGGATAAGTGTCTGAATCTTCAGGGGCTGTAGATTGTGTTAGAGGGGAATCATCATCAACCAAGTCACGCCTCAATTTCGTCAGGGCAACTTTACCAGGCAGGGGCGAACATGTATTTTACACCTCAGCCGGAATTTAATCACTATGAGAAAAAGGCGAAGCGGAAGAAAAAAGGGTTGGATTTAGAGTTTTACCTTCGCAGTGGGAGTAGAGCTAAGGCTAAACTGTCTTCACATCTCTAATCTTGAACGGAACTTTAACTTTGAATTCTTCTCCATAAGTAAAACACGTCTCACGCATTCAAATAAGCCAGATATTTATTTCCTTGTGGGAATTCTTTTTAAACTGTAATTGTTAATTAGGACAATTAGCATAAAAAAGTTTTTACAGTATGGAAATATTGCTTTTAGCGTAAGCCAATTACAAAATTAGTATGCTGTTTGTAATTAGAGAAAACAGTTGGTCGAAAAACAGTAAAACGTGAAAATTGTATTTTATCAATCATTACTAATCAGTATAATTATTTTCACATACCTCCATTTCGGCATTTCGGTGAAAAGCGATATATCGTTTCAGTTTAAAAAAAAAGCGAAATGCCATCGGCAGAACGATTTTAAAGCTTCAATTAAAAATAATCGAACATCAACAGTGAGATAGAAAACTGGATGTTTCATTTTGAGACAGAAATGTAAGATTTGCCTGCAATTTTATGATCTTTGGCCGTTCTTTTCACTGTAATTTGACCAGTCACGTCTCTCACATTTAGCACTAAAAATTTACTAAAAAGCTTTTCACCCAAAGAAGATAATAGAGGAACCAGAATAGTTTTAGGTAATTCGTCTTGCGATCATTTTTCACAGTAGATCGGTTATTTGGTCCATCAGTTTTGGACTATAACCATCAGCGGTGGTGAGTTATTTTGTCAAGTCTTATTTTTTATACAGTCATGGTTTGAAAGGAATAAATTGCTGCTGTAGACAAACTGATGAAGGATAATGCTCGAATTCTGTTTGGCAGACGAAAATAGCGAAGGTTGACAGCCCGCAATAATCGGAAGCTATCATCGTCCAGAAGTAAGACTTTGTCCAATGTTTGTTTTTTTACTACAGCTCTTATTCACAAAAGAAAAACTATATAATATCAATTGTCTAAGTTAAATGAATTTAAAAAAAATTGATATGTTTGGGACTATGTAATAAGCAATAGCTGCTGCAGAAAATGATACCAGCAAAAGAACTATTTCTATGAAATAAAAAAAAAATGTTAGAATTAAATAAGAATATCACATTCCTTACAACTGCAAAGCAGGTTTTTATCATTGGCAATTTTTTTCAAAAATTATTAAAAGTATGATATCACTTTCCATACAAATGGAATGTAATTATTTTGAAAGTGACACCAACGGTTAATACGTTTGCAGAGCTCAAAGTGTGATAAAAATTAAAAAACTCTATATTTTAAACATTTGAAGCGTAATAAAAATAGTACCCAAAGTTTTCCAAACGGAAAATCTTTATGTTCATGGTGCTTTTTGCATGATTATGTTTCTTAAAGTTAATGAACTATAGCGGTATAAAACCATAATCTGTCCATAAAATGATCACATTATTGATGCCTAATTTTTCAAGTAACTCGCCAAAAGCAATGATCAATAGAGTTGTAACATCTCTTAATATTACTGTTTTATTGTGTTTTCATTGAGCTTTATGGGTAATAACATTGAATAAACCGGCCTAGTGTGCAGCCAGTTGGTCGTAACGACCCGAAAATGGTCCCAATCGATTCGACAGAACAATATTTAGGAGAATTTAACTATAAATATATAATTAGTATTTCCAAAGTACATTAGAAAGTGTTGGCTATTTTTGAAGGTGTTTTCATTCTGAACAGCGACTTATCACTGGAAGGGTTCCGAATTCGACTTGAGGACTGTCGTGAATTGAACCTGGAACCCTTCCAGTGATGAGTGGCCATAAAAGATCAAAACAACCGAAAAATAGAAAAAACTTTTTAAAGTATCTTAGAATACTAGTTAAATATTAGTTTGTAGTGAGTACTTCCAAATATTTTTTTTAAAATACCGCAGCCCCAGCGGATTTTTAAGAAATAATGGCTTACACTATTCTAAAATTATTGAATGTTTATATTATACTTAAGGAGCATCCAATTTGGTAAGGAAATTTTATCCTATAGTTTCTTTCGCATAGTAGTTTGAGGATTTTCTCAAAGGCCTTTGTCATCAAACGATTTGTCATTTTTTTCACGTTTTTCACAATTTTATAAACTTTTATGTTTGAATAGCAGCAAACAAAATAGTAACCTTATGTGCTGTAGATATGCTGTCCAAACATTCAATTTTGACTTATAAATTATGGCAATTTTTTCACGTGTTATTTTGGCGATATTTAACTTTTAGTGAACCGATTTTTACGCGGTTTTTGCCATTTATTTACAAAATCGAAGATATTGATTACTTTGTCAACTAACTGTATTTATTGTTAGATATTTGGATGTCAGCGTACTTGTTTATCTCCAGGTTTCCCCAATAAACTGCTCAACTTAAAAAAATTAGCAAATACTTACGTAGTATAAACTTTTCTAACGGTAAAATAGTTTTTAAAAAATATTTTTAAGAAATTGATAAATGTAATTCTATTCAAATGTAATGTCTGAAAGTAGAGCTTACGCTAAAAAGCTTATATTTCTTGTCTAAGTTGAGATTTTTTGAAATATTGCAAAGAGGCACTAAGTAAATTGACACCCTGTATCTTATTATTGCCATTAGCATCAAACAAAATAGTAACCTTATGTGCTGTAGATATGCTGTCCAAACATTCAATTTTGACTTATAAATTATGGCAATTTTTTAGACTCGCATCGTCGGCGTACGAAGATTTTAAATAAATTTCGGTTTTAAACTTGCTTCTTTCGAGTAAACTTTTCCAACATTCATTTCAACTCCAAATTTGTTCAGTTGACAATTTACCACCTGCGTTAATAAACTACTTGGAAGATTTTGACTCCACGACGTCTGACTGGATCCTTATTTGAGATTGACATTGTTTTTTTAAAGTCGCTGGGCCGGTGTCATTACCTGAGATTGATGACTGCCCCATTCACCGTCCCCAGTTTGAAAGTCATTCTCGGCAAGACTTTCAAAACAGCGTTACTCGGAAAATTAAAAACAGCAACCAAAATTGCTCTTTTGTACTTTATTAATAAACTGGCCGGCAATCTAACCCATTTTGGACGTGAAGTTTTAACGAAATGAAAATATCTTTTGGTGATTTTTTTAGAATGTTCAATTAGATGTTTAATTTTTTTTTCAACTTGTGGACAAAAGCATGAATATAATTACAGATGCTATTTACTAACACACATGAAAAATCTGGACTCAACCATTGGCAATACCGTTCTTGCATGAAACCGATAGTTAAATAAATAATGTTCTACATCAAGGAAAGAAAAACGACTCTTTCTTACCCATGTCGCCATTGTAATTGATGTCTTTTCCGTCCTCCCGCCTCCACATGACATAAGGGTCTGGATAACCCTGCGCCCTGCACTGCAGGGTCACATCGCCGGCTTCCCTTACGACCAGATCCGGTGATGAGTCCCTTTCCACTATCCGGGGTGGAACTGGAACAAAAAAAACGTATTTTTATTCTGTGTGTTTACAAGTCTTGCGAGACGGAACCATGATTTTCTCCTTGACCTAAAATTTACGAGCAAGGGATAATCTTTTTTTTGAAAATGTAATCGTTTATAGACAGTAATAATTTTGTTTATATACAACCATTTATACATGAAAGAGATTTCAGTATCTTTAGTAGAGCCAGCAGTGACGAAAAGGGAAAGATACCCCACCGCCTGTGACCTAACTGATGTCTCAATCCCGAAAGGAATGCACTGGCAGAAAGATATATTAAATTTAATATATGTTCCATAGTGAGAGAAATTTAATATATATNGAGTGTGTGTGCGTGTGTGTGTGTGTGTGTGTGTGTGTGTGTGCGCGCGCGCGTGTGTGTGGTGATTAGTGACCGTTATTCGTAGATTATTCGGAAATCGTGAGATGCAGTCTTGTGTGACGTAGGTTTCAGAAAAACATTTTCTTTATCGTGCCAACGTTTCGATCTTTATTGAGATCATCTTCAATGCCTGGGATTTACAAACATTGTTTACATTTAACAAATATATGTATGACGTGGAACAAAGTGAATTTATACAATGCAAAAAAATATTGTTTATATTCAATCAAAGTATTTCTACTCACTCAAAGTGTTTGTTTTCCGCGTGTACGTAGTGAGTGTGTAAGAAATCTATTTTTTAAGATGTATATATATATATATATATATGAATTTGTTTAAATTTAATCTCTGTATATTGCTTGGTTAAACGATTATTGTTGTTGAAGAAAAAGAAGCTTCTCGCACATTGTAAATATTCAGTTTGTTCCATACAAAAAGAACCTTTTTTTAATATATAATTTGCTTATTTTGTATCTATTGTTTACTTTGTTACTGTACTTCTTTACTTCTACTTCTTTATCTCTTTCTTACTGTACAATATTCAGCCCTACAAACTTTCAATGGGCAATGAATTCTCTATAATAAACGTAGTTTATAGATTTTGTTTCACCCCTTTACCATGCGTTTGAGCCAGTTTGTAAACCGCAGGCTCATTTTTTCAGCATAATATTATTATGGATGAGGTAAAGCTGGAAACTAGTGTAGGAAAGGGTACATTAAAGTGAAGTCACACGAGACTTGTAAGTAGAACTTATGCCTCCTGGGGGGCTTCCCTCCAGGCCGTTCGTTGGAGGCGGTGAGGGTTGGAAAAGCCAGTTGATAAAAATCCACCCCAGCCTTATTTATCTGGCGATAAACACGGTTCCGATTAGACTCGAATTGAGATACTTGGCTTTGCCCCGCTTTAGTAAATTTAAAGGGGGTGAGGCCTTTATAAGAAAAGGTGGTTACTTAATTTATTATTGGACAATTTGTTACCTTTGGTAGTAATTTGCTGACTGACGCTCAATGGAGAAGGGGAGGGATCCTCGGGGAACAAATACTATAGTCGGGCGCCACACTATTTAAGTCAGGGAAAATAGTGAATCCCTAAAAAAAGCAAAGGGGAAAAGAAAAGAAAAGGAGAGAAAAAAAAAATATAGACCCCCAAACGCACTCGAACCGCGAACCTTCTAGTCTTAAAACGAAGATGATACCCCTGCGCTACAAGCTGCCTTGTTAATACCAGACTGTTCACCTTATTCAATCTTTAAATTCAGTGGATCGGCCTTCGCCAGGGATCGGAATACAAAATCGAAACGAAACAAGTAAATAAATAAGTAATTAAAAAAAATTATAATAATAATGACGACAACAACAACAACAAACAAAATTCTATTAATTACCATTTGCTTTTATAATAAATTACCTCGCGAAGGCCTCGCAAACAAAATTAAATTCACAATACTTGGAGTATCTTCTCCAAAAAAAAAAGAGAAAAAAAACTCTTAACAACACAAAAAAAAAAAAAAAAAAAACCTCTTCCTTTGGTTTAAATACACAAAAAAAAATAAAACAACTAACTGTTCTCAAACGTTGGACTTCTCCGGAGGTCTCGAATCGCCGCCTGTCCTCCTAACTCCTTCCCGGAGGTAGGTCCTGTTCCCAGAGGAGAATGACCGTGTCCGACGCTGGAAAAAATGAGAAGGATCTCCCTTGCTCTTCCGATTTTCCTCCTTTTTTCGTTCCTTTCTCTCTTCTCTCTGTCCACACGCTCGCCTTGCCTGCTTCCGCCTGCCACCACGCGTCCGCCGCCACCCGTCCACCGTCGTGTTTTTCCGGCCTCCGCCGTCTCAATTCACGATCTAGGCGTCCACCACGTTAGAGGTACCCCTTACAAAAAAACATGGAATTTTTCCGACCCCTAACGTCGAAAATTATATACTTTTCTAAAATTTCCCACCGGGAGTCCCAAAATCGGGGAGGTGAACAGTCCGGGCGTAACATTCCCCTCTTTCCTCGAGAAAAAAAAAGATTTTTTTTTTCTTTATATTTTACATTTTTATTTTTTTTTTTTAACTCTCTGACCTAGGTATCCTATCACTGCGTGGGGATTGAAAGGAGGTATCTCTGGGGGTATCCCAGTCGGTCGAAGGATGGGGTTTTAAATCTTTAATGTGCCAATCACCAATATCCTTGCCAGTTAAATCCTCCAATTGGTACACCAGAGGCCCTTTTTTTTGTTTTACCCGACACTTCTGGAACAATGGTGCCAGCTTCCCAGCTTTGTAGTTTGCTGCATCCGATAGAGCAAACGTCTTCCTCCAGACGATGTCTCCAATTGCCAGGTCCATGTCTCTCCTCCTCAGATTATACCGCTTTCGGCTATTCTCGTAGGCCTTGTCCAACCGGAGTTGGACATCTTGGTAAACCTGGTTCAGACTCTTCAGCCTCCCAACCCATTCCGAATGGTCCTTAGTCCCTGAATGTAATTCTGCTAGTCCTACTTCGTTCCCTTTCCTTTTCAATTCTCGACCAAAATTTAGGAACGAAGGCGAATATCCGGTAACTTCATGGACGGCCGTTTTTAAGGCGAATTCGAAATGTTTGAGATTAACGTCCCAGTGCCGGTGATTGTCTTTTAGGTACGAGGATATCATTGTTTTTATCACGCGGTTCACCCTCTCCACTGGGTTCGCTTGAGGGTGATATTTCGGAGTGTACCACACTTTTATATCATAACTTCTGGCCATCTGTTGGAATTCCTTACTCCGGAATTGGACACCGTTGTCACATATAACGACTTCCGGGGCTCCAAACGTTAAGATCGCCTCATTCTCAACTACGGATGCGACATTCTTAGCGGAGGCCGTCCTAAGAGGGTGCATGATCGTGTACTTGGTAAAGGTATCGTTGATGGTGATTATGTACTTCTTCTGTGAGGAACTGGGTGGGAGAGGCCCTATGATATCCACCGACACCATCTGCCACGGGCGACTGACCGCGCGGCGTGTACCCATCAGGCCAGGGGGGGCCTGTTGCAGGGGTTTCTGGGATAGGCTAGTTTCGCATCTAGCCACGTATTTCGACACATCGGATGCCATTCCCCGCCAATAGTAAGTCCCTTTCAACCGCCCCAGCGTTTTGAAGATCCCTAAGTGTCCTGACAAGGGGCTGTCATGAAACTCCTTTAAGATTTCCTTCCGGGAAGATTGCGGCACTACATATCTCCACGGATTCTCTTCTTCGAACCATCTGTTTTTCTTGTTTATCCGCTTATACAGCTGCGACCCTTCTACTTTCCAGTCAGGATATCTCTCCGGGCTCTGGTTAACCTTCTGGATCATCCGTGTATACCAAGGTTCTAACTGCTTTTCTCCTATAGTTGACACGTCATGGAGTCTTGATAGTGCATCAGCCGCAGCATGGAGTTTGCCTGGGCGGTGCACAATTTCAAAATCGTGCTGTTGTAATTTGATTGCCCACCTGGCCAGACGCCCTCGCGGATCTTTTAAGTTATTCAGCCACTTCAGGGACTGATGGTCTGTCACTACCTGAAAGTGACCACCTTCCACATAAGGAAGAAACTTTTCAATGGCCCACAAAACTGCCAAGCATTCTTGCTCTGTTGTGCTATACTTCCTCTCAGCCGGTGTTAGGCTACGACTAGCATAAGCAATTACGTGTTCTCCCTCCTCAACGTACTGGGATAAGATCGCCCCTAGTCCGGTGTGGCTGGCGTCAGTCTGTATCACAAAAGGCTTCGTATGGTCCGGACATGTCAAAATCGGTGCCGACACTAGTTTTTCCTTTAGAACATCAAAGGCTTCTTCCTGTTCTCTTCCCCAGGACCACTTCTTTCCTTTCTTTAGAAGTGCCGTAAGTGGAGCAACAATCGTAGCAAAATTTGGCACGAAACGCCGATACCAGGAGGCTAGGCCCACAAATCTTCTCACCTGTCTCACGCTGCGCGGGCTGGGATAGTTCAGGATAACCTCCACCTTCTCGGGGTCTACTTGCAGGCCATTGTGATTCACTATGTATCCCAGAAATTTTAGTTCTGACCGACAAAACCGGGATTTCTCCCAGTTAACTGTTAGGTGGGCCTCGCTTAACCTCTTGAAAACCTCGTTCAGGATATTCAGGTGTTGTTCAAAATCCACCGATACTATCACTATGTCATCCAAGTATACGAACACAAACGGCTCCAGATCCGAGCCAAGCACATCATCGATTAGTCTCTGCCAAGTGGCCGGGGAATTATGTAGGCCAAAGGGCATTCGATTAAAATGGAAGAGGCCTCGATTTGGAACGGTGAATGCCGTTTTTTCCTTACTACCCTCCTCCATAGGGACTTGCCAGTAGGCGCTTTTAATATCCATGGAAGAGAGGAACTTTGCATCTCTAAGGCGGTCCAGAATATGGGTCACATATGGCAGAGGGTAAGCGTCCCTTTTGGTGACCGAATTAACCTTTCTGTAATCGACACAGAATCTATGGGTGCCGTCGGGTTTTTTGACGAGAACTACTGGCGAAGACCATGCACTTTTCGATGGCTCAATAATCCCCTCCTTCAACATCTCGTCAAGCTCGTTGTCTAGGATCTTCTGAATGGGCGGAGAAACGGGATAGTATCTTTGTTTAATAGGTCGATGTTCACCTGTGTCGATTATGTGAGTGACCTTCGAAGTACACCCGATCCTGGGGGAGCCTTTTAAATTCCACTGCTTCAGCACAGTCTTCAATCTGTACCGTTGGTCATCGGTCAAATCAGTCTCGTCTTTTAAGCATGTCTCCATCTTATCGATCGCATTTATGTTGTCTCCCGTGTCTCTCTCATCATCCCTCTCGGAGAATGCTGGGGTAATCTTCATTTTGTTCCAAAAATCCATTCCCAAGATGATTGGGGTTGTCAGTCCTGGCACGATGCAAAAGTTGATTAATTTCACTCGCGCTCCTAGTTTCACGGGCACCATTGTACAACCCGATACATTCAAGGCTTCGCCATGGGCCACTGTCAAACATAATCCGGGTTCCGTATACATCTTCAGCCCTAACGTAGAAATTTGGTCCCAGAAAACTTTGCTCATCACGGACCGCGATGCTCCCGAATCCAAAAGACCAGAAACGATTAGTCCTAATATGTCTATTTTAACAAAGGGTCGAGGGTCGCGGCCCTTAGCATAAAGGTGGGGGAGGGAGCATAACCGTCGGCCACTCGCAGCTTCTCTTACCACCGCTAACCACTCCTCCCATTCTATCTTAGTTGTGAACTGACGTCTGGGAGCCAAGCCTCGTCCCCTTAGGCTTGACTCGTCTGACCGTTTCCCGGGACTGAACGGCAGGTTGGGCATTGTGACTTAAACATCTCTTTACGGCCGCAGCCGGTGCAAAACTGTCTCTTGGGGTCTGGGCAACGCCTGAACGCATGACCGTTGCCATCGCAGTTCCAACATCGGAACTCCGGCTTCGGCGGGTTATTGAGGGGGCAGACAGGTTCCTCAATAGCTTGGATGTTGACTTCTTGCCTTCGACGGGGGGGCGTGTATGCCAGGTCGGGTTCCAACGAATCTCTCGGCAAGGGGGGTGGCCGTTGGGCCGAGATCCTTCTCCTAGTTTCTTCTAGTTTCCTGCCTACGGTCACTAACTCATTCAAGCTTTCAATGTTCTGGAGGCTCAATCGTTCCAGGTAATAGGGCTGAAGATTCCCTCGCACAACCTGTAACATTTCCGACTGAGAGGGAAGCTGAGGGAGGCGATGGAAATAATTTTTCATTACCGCCACATAAAAACCAATAGATTCCGTTGGCCCTTGGGTCCTCTGACGAATTTCATCCCACAATCGGAAATGGTAGTCTGCTGGTTCGTACTCCGCTCGTAACTCGGCGACTAGTTCCTTCCAAGTACCGACTTCTCTCCGTACAGCTCTGTACCAAACCAAGGCTTTTCCCCGGAATAGATCGAAGGCCGAATCGAAGAGGTCTCGTTCACTCACGTTCCTCGAGAGCATTAGTTCTTCGACTGTTTCAAGAAATGCGTGGAGACTGAGTTCATCGTTCTCTCCAGAAAAATGAATTTTCCAATCTTTCGGAGGAATTTGCGTCTTCCGAAGTACTACTGGGGGCTCGACCGGAGTCTCGAACAAGACCCTGGCCGATCGAGGTTCCTCCGGGATCCGTTGAGGTGTGAATTCCTCTTCTTCCGATTCTCCTTCGGCACCCTCATTCTCCGGTCTCGAGGTGGAAGCGGAATGTTTCAACTGTCCTGCAAGTAGATCTCCTTTCTCGACTACCTTCTGGGGTGGTCCACCCGCAGAGGAAACATCCTCCATCCACTCCAAACACTCCTCCAACAACCTTGACTTCGTCTGTTTCTCCTCATCAGATCCGGGAGAAAGCCGTGACAAACGATTGGTCACGTGCTGTAACTTGGCATCTATTTTCTTGAAGTCCACTCTATTGCCCTTTAGGAACTCCTCGATTTTTGGTCTAAGGGTCTCAATTTTTCCCGAGCATATGTTCAGTTCTTCTCCCGTATTCGAGGGAAGGTGTATGGGTGAGGCCAGTCTGCCTTCAGCTTCCAACTTAAGCAGCCTTCGTACCCTTTTACGCAACTCATCTACATCTGCGTGCTCCGGAGAGGCCCCCCGGATAGACAGTTCGTATTCCAACTCGTCTCGGTTCAATCTATTTACGTCCATCTTCATGTTTTGTAGAGATAATATTTTTTTCTTCACAATGAATTTTCTGAAAATAGTTTAGTTCCCCTTCTGACAACAGGTCCCTGTTCGGGCGCCAATTTGTTACCTTTGGTAGTAATTTGCTGACTGACGCTCAATGGAGAAGGGGAGGGATCCTCGGGGAACAAATACTATAGTCGGGCGCCACACTATTTAATTCAGGGAAAATAGTGAATCCCTAAAAAAAGCAAAGGGGAAAAGAAAAGAAAAGGAGAGAAAAAAAAAATATAGACCCCCAAACGCACTCGAACCGCGAACCTTCTAGTCTTAAAACGAAGATGATACCCCTGCGCTACAAGCTGCCTTGTTAATACCAGACTGTTCACCTTATTCAATCTTTAAATTCAGTGGATCGGCCTTCGCCAGGGATCGGAATACAAAATCGAAACGAAACAAGTAAATAAATAAGTAATTAAAAAAAATTATAATAATAATGACGACAACAACAACAAAATTCTATTAATTACAATTTGCTTTTATAATAAATTACCTCGCGAAGGCCTCGCAAACAAAATTAAATTCACAATACTTGGAGTATCTTCTCCAAAAAAAAAAGAGAAAAAAAACTCTTAACAACACAAAAAAAAAAAAAAAAAACCTCTTCCTTTGGTTTAAATACACAAAAAAAAATAAAACAACTAACTGTTCTCAAACGTTGGACTTCTCCGGAGGTCTCGAATCGCCGCCTGTCCTCCTAACTCCTTCCCGGAGGTAGGTCCTGTTCCCAGAGGAGAATGACCGTGTCCGACGCTGGAAAAAATGAGAAGGATCTCCCTTGCTCTTCCGATTTTCCTCCTTTTTTCGTTCCTTTCTCTCTTCTCTCTGTCCACACGCTCGCCTTGCCTGCTTCCGCCTGCCACCACGCGTCCGCCGCCACCCGTCCACCGTCGTGTTTTTCCGGCCTCCGCCGTCTCAATTCACGATCTAGGCGTCCACCACGTTAGAGGTACCCCTTACAAAAAAACATGGAATTTTTCCGACCCCTAACGTCGAAAATTATATACTTTTCTAAAATTTCCCACCGGGAGTCCCAAAATCGGGGAGGTGAACAGTCCGGGCGTAACAAATTGTCTGCATAATTATCCATATAAATACATAGTTTTTCTTTTTCTCGATAAAAGAAAATTCTGCTTTCACTTTAACTAGTTTACGCTAGGTTTTAAATTGGGAATATCAGTTATAGGTAAACACACTTAAGCCATAATCCAAAACAAGGATAAAGGATTTTTCAATGTTTACATTTTACAGAATTTAAAATGTTTATTCAGTTTCATTTGAATTCTGTTCTATTAATTTCAATTTTTAAACTTAGAAATGCCACTTAGTGGTGAGGATGTTGTGCGTGGTGTGGAACTTATTGATAGACGTTCCATCAAGTATGCTCCTATTGCAAACGGAATTCATTATGAAACACTGCGTCGATACACAATTAGACATTTTCGAGAACCTGTGTCTTACCATAGAAGGCATGGTTCTGGACGCCCTAGGGTAATAGATTTTTGACTTTGAGAATTTTGCGAACCGACACAAGTGTTTCATGACAGTGACACTTGTTCAAGTGATTCATCAGCACCAGGAAGTTCGAGGTGACCAAATTTCTGAAAGCACTGCTCGAAGAAGAAAAAATAAGTATGGTCTGAATAGTTGAACCCCATCGAAAATTTATGGGATAACCTCAAAAGACCAATAAGAACACGTCTAACTGATACACCTGACACTCTCCAAGACCTTGAAAGTATTCTTCGTGAAGAATAGGCTAACCTCCGGCAAAGAGACATTACCAGACTGGTAGAAAGTTTGCTGAGGCGTCTTTGAGATGTTATTAAGGCAAGAGGAGGAAATACGATATTGAAATTTTAATTAAAAATCTAAAACAAAATTAAAACAAATTTTTTCTGTCCGTCGGCAATTTACATTTTTTAAAAACTTTTTTAGAGAAAGGGTCAATTATTAAACGTTAAAAAACGTGAAACTTTGATTAAAAATTAAATAAAATAATTAATAATTTAATAATTAAAACTTATAGAATCCTGTATGTATTATTGTTCCTTTTTAAGAATTTATTTATGTTGTTAATCTAACAAGAAATCGATTATTGTAAAATACCGTTTACTTTTTGCACTGTCTGATACTTGTTTTTCATGAAACTTTTTTTCACTGAAGATGGCATAATACTGTTACCCGTACGGTTGAAAGGTAAACTAATGAAAATTTACATACACAGTTATGTAGTTAGTGTAGATTATTTCAAAACATTTTCATCTACTCGCAGATGGACTACATCAATCACCATCTCAGCTTCATTAAAATTTTTTTAATTGGTGAGGTTTCGTTGCCGGAGGTTACATTTGAGTTATCCGAGAACTCACTTTTATATTTTTTGAAGAAGTTTAAGTTTAAGAAGTTTTTCTGAAACTGCTTACATTTTGTAATAGTCTAATAATGACCGCCCTACCATTGTCTCCACTCAATAAGCTTTTTGACAAAATTATACAGTTTGTTAAAAGTAAAACATAAAATATATTTTTACATTAAATACATTATCGAGGCCTAACAGGGATCCTCTTCACAAATATCTCGGGTACACAATTGACTCAATTCATTTCTCGACTACTTTCAGGCTCCTAAAATGCACTTAATGTAAACACTATTAAGTGTTCTTTTATTTCATCAATCTCAAATATTCCGTATGTCTGCTCGACGATGATACAAAAATAAAATTAATTATTAGTATTACAGCCGTTAAAAATAATCTAGACATAATACATTTAATATGATGAAATCACTTACCAACGACTTGCAAATATCCCTGCTTGCTCCGCATTGGATCCGTGTTGACCTGGCACATATACCATCCTCTGTCAATGTCTTGTACATTGCTTATATGCAGGTACCAGGATCTGTGGTCGTTGTAAGAAAGTGAGACCCGGGGATTCTGAGTGATCACCGAATGGTGTATGGAGAGGATTGTCTGCGTGTCCACCCGGACCCACGCTACCTGAAACCAAAAGATGTCAATTAAAAACATGCATCCAATTAAAAAATCAATAAATAGTTATAATAATTTAATCGTTTCATCTCTTTGAAAAATATTGATTGAAACATTAAATGGAAAAATGTTAGTGGCAAACAACTTGCATTAGCAGTCTTGCCCTCCAAGATACATGAACAATGAAGAGATACCGACTTCCACTCACGTCAAATACTTAGGACTCCTTGATAGCAGACTGACTGGAATCCCCACACAAGACTTAAAAGACAACTCAACAGAAGACTTGGACAATTACGCAGACTACTAGGACCAAAATCCTGGTTGACCATCAGCACTAAACTGACCTTATACAAGACTTTACTGCGACCACGTTGGACATACGGTGTGGAATTGTGGGGTTCCGCCAAACCATCCAATATCCAGCGTATCCAGTCCTTCCAATCAAAAGTCCTCAGACAAATCGTCAAAGCTCCTTTTTACGTCTCTGACCTCACTATTAAACGAAGTTCTCAACTTTCCTTTTGTCCACGAACTGATCCATTCCCGATTCCAAAAATTTCATACCAACTTATCGATCCATCCTAACCCCACCGCAAGAGCCCTCTCCACATTTTCCCATCCCGAGAATCCAACACGTCGCCTAAAACGACGATGGCCCCGAGACCTCCTTGCCCCTTAATCCGTTAAAATGAGTGCCACTGGCTGGCTTCTCATGGCATGGGTCCTCTGGTTGCAGCGCTGGCACAGTATTAAGAAAAAAACCATTGCACCATCTATGAAATATAATATAAAATAAGATAAAAAAATAATAAAACAACCTTTAAAAGCACTAGCAATATTATCGATTTAAGAACATGTAGCTTTCATATCAATAAAATAATTACTTCGATGTGTTGAGGTCAAAATATTAACATACAATATTTTTTACCATTTCGAGTCGAGGATATTGTATGAAAATAAAAGCATAAATGTCTCATAGGAATAACAAGAAAATTAAATAAAAAATATATCTATAATCCCAAAAGAGCAATAAAATACTCTCATCTTTTCACCGCCGTTCTAGACATTTTTCGAACCTTTTTAACTCACATAATATCTACTCCATAAGTTAATAGAATGAGATACGTTTATACGAAATTAGTTTTTTAACTCCAGAGGCATGTTGCGAGAATAACTTTTTTTTCTTTAAGGAAATACTGTTGTATTATGTTGGATAATGCCTACCATATTAGATGACTCATTTTAGCATATGATGTTTGTTCGTTTTCTAAAAGGTACTCAACGCGTACTTGAATATTTAAATTTAATTAAAAATAAATAAACCCATTCTTAATAAATATGCTGCATGCTATTTATTCAAAAAATTATTTGAGTTAATTGCGTTCTACGATTTTAGTATAAACTTTTAAATACTCGTGAATAAAGAGATGAGGGAGGGAGAGAGAGTGTGAGAGGAAGAGGGAGGGAGGGAGGGAGGGAGAGAGAGAGAGAGAGGGAGGGCGAGTGAGTGGTGAGTGTGTGTGTGTGTGTGTGTGAGAGAGAGAGAGAAAGAGAAAGAGAGTGAGAGAGTGTGTGAGAGAGAGAGAGAGAGAGTGACTGAGTTAGATATTGGGAGGAAAAACAAAAAGAGAGAGAAGAAGTGAAAAATGAAATAGTGAAAGAAATAATTACAGCGGGATAGAGAGAATGGACGAGAAAGATTGACAAAGATTGATAGATTGAGAGAGATACATATATAAACGGATAGATAGAATCAAAATGAGTGAAACTGACAGGTAAGCAAATATAAAAAGTATTTTTTGAGGATTAATCATCATCCCGATGGACTGCTGACTCCGTTATTCAAATTAATTTACCTTCTCCGAGCATTTCTATATTAAATAGAAGCTGCAATGTTAGGTAATGATATTAAGGTTAAACCAAGAAAACATTTTGTTGTGTTTTTTGTATATTCATTTGGTAACCCAGTTTTTCAAGATTATTTGGCAAACCTTGGTTAATAGTTCGGTTGTTTTTGACCAATTCAGTTATCCTAATCCCTATTTTAGGTGTTTAGGTGGCGGAATGACGAATCTGCCTGACAGACGACACATCTAGGGCAACTCTATATCTGATTTCAAAATAATTGGTTTGCCAATCTAATATTCTAGCTATTTTCTTTTAATTATTATTATTGAAAACCTGAAAGTAAATTGTTAAGGAATATGTATTCAAAAGATTTTGAATATGCTTCAAATTTTAGTCAACTCTCTATAAATAAAATCTAGTTTAGAAGAAATGTAGATATTAAATTTCCTATTCGGAGATCGTGAGATGCGGTCTGGTGGGACGTAGGTATTAGAAAAACATTTTCTTTATCATGCCAACGTTTCGATCTTTATTGAGATCATCTTCAGGGCCTGAGATTTATAAACATTGTTTACATTTTACAAATACGTGTCGGATGTGAAAAAATGAATCTATACACTGCTAGAAATTTTAGATTCAAAGAAAATAAATTTATACAATGCTGGAAAATTTTAGATTAAAAAAATAAATTTATACAATGCTAGAAAATTTTAGATTAAATCGAAGTATTTATACTCACTCAGTGTTTGTTTTCCGTGTAGATGTGACATTAGGGGGCCAAATTTGGCTTTCCTTTCCCTAATTATCTGTCGTCTATATAATCCTGAAAAGACAATCAGGCCGAATCATTCCCCATTTTTTTCCTATTGTCGGCTCTTATATAAAAATGTCTTTCTATTCCCGACTTCCCTCCCTACCCCATCAAAATCCAACGTATATAAACATAAAACATCAATATCTCACTGGCACTCTCAACATGACACATGAATGACACATCTACACGGAAAACAAACACTTTGAGTGAGTAAAAATACTTCGATTGAATCTAAAAATTTTCTAGCATTGTACAAATTAGTTTTTTTAATCTAAAATTTCTATTATTGTATAAAATCATTTTTTCACATCCTACATGTATTTGTAAAATTTAAACAATATTTATAAATTCCAGGCCCTGAAGATGATCTCAATAAAGATCGAAACGTTGGCACGATAAAGGAAATGTTTTCCGAAAATTACGTCACACCAGACCGCATCTCACGATCTCCGAATAATCATTGACTAACGGTCACTAAACACCACACATTACACAATATGAGGTTTTTTGCTCTAATAATACTGGTAAACTATAATGTTTTTTTAGATGCTTTTTAAAGATATAGTTTTTACCAAAGCTGGCATGCTGTGCAATTTATGAAAGATTTAGTGTTACTTATTATTAAATTAATGATGAAATGATTAATGAAGGATAAAAAATAATGGTAATAATATTTTAAAATAATTGCATGATCTGGATTCTTGAATTAAAATAATCTGGTTTTGTGAAATGTTCAACCATTGCTTTTGTTGTTATATCGGTTACTAAAATACGGGTTAATAATTTTAATTTGTTATGTACTACATTTCTCCGAAAGGTTTTTTTGCTATTGTAGTCTCTTTTGTAAATTTTTCGTACAAAAGAAGCAGGTCATATTTGTAATGAATAGATTGTATAAAATTCCAAAAATTCATCTTGAATAGTGTTCCGCCTGAAGGTAGTCCCGGTTCACAGGATGCCGCTATGCTCTTCAGCCTACAGAAACAATTTCTTGAACACGTAGCTCCAGATATGCTGAGGGAGGGAGATCTAAATACCTCGGAGAAGCGGTGCCCCGGGGCGACTCATACGTGTCTTGACTCCATCCGTCGTGTTTGGCTTCGACAAACCTTGATCCACACCACGGCGGTAAATCGTATTAGGCTCCTACACTCCGCATCACTCGGTCCACTTGCTCCTTGTCACATTAAATAAATACATGTCGATTTTCAACCAGCCGCGAGACAAATGAAAATGAGCCTCGTTCCTCTCATTTCGGCCACCGATTTTTCCATTTTGGGACGTTTTCCATTTATCTGACACAATTCGCCGACTTCATAAGCCTAATTTTCACATTGTTAGCGCCGTCGGACAATGGGATGCGATAATTTTCTGTTAACAGCCCCAACGGGCTGTTTTGTTGGGACACATCAACACCGGGCTTGGACGTGTCAGAAATTGGTTAGAAACAATACAAACCAGTTCATCTATAATTATGCCATTACCACGTTATCAAGCTAATGGGTATTTAGTAATTTTTCGCCAATTACAAAGGTCAGAGACAAACGAACCGATTCACATCCTAATTCAGAATAGATTCATCATCGCGCTAATTTCCCCTTACCAGTCGAATTTACCCTTTTCCATTATAAAATATAATTTAAACAAATATTTGAACCTGATACGGTACAAATTTATTATTGCAATTTTATTACATTAATTTTATTTTGAAAGAAGGTCATGAGCGAAGCCATGAAAAAAGAAAAACCCTTCTTTTCAATCATTTTTTTTCTTTTTTATGAAAAACTGTTATATTTCGGACAGTATAAAAAAACACAAAAAACAAGGAGTTCTTAAATGAGCTTTTGAAGAATTAATCCACTTGATCAATACATTGAAGATATAATTTCGGATTTACATGTTCAACTGAATGAAATTTTCATATTTAAAGGCGATCAAGGATGAAGCAAAATAGTGTTCAACGAAAGAACAGCTTATTTCATTGTACTTTCAAAAAATATTGAAAACATTTTACACATATCATCATCACGCCTACAAATATGAAATTTTTATATTAACCAAACATCATAGATGGGATGAAATTTATATTAAAAAAACTATATACAAAATAAATCAACTAATAAATCACAGTTTTTTCACGAGCTTTTGAGGAATAATACACCTTCATAAGTACAGTGATATTACTTATGAATAATAACTACTGATTCAAAAACGAAAAATGTTCACTTTTTTATTAAAAGGCGAAAGACGATCAAGGATGAGGCTAGACAAAACGCACTTACTTCCTTCATCGAACATTCGAATAATATAAACCCTTCATCCTTCATCCTGCTTATAAGACTAT